TATATATATACAATATAATTTGCAGCTTCTCCGACATCTTACTTAGTTTTTCCCTCATGTTTTTGCAAAAAGCCGCTCCACGATGGTAAAGTTTCATTTTATGTGGAGGCCAAATTATTGAACCCTCGAATATGTCGATGAAGGGGATTCAATTAAAATTCTCTTAAAACTAAAGTTCAAAAGAAACTGTACTAATCTTGCCTTAGACAAAAGGAGAAAATATCTTACTGTTTAACCAAAAAAGAAAACAAAGAAAAAGAACCAATGAAGTTAGTGTTACACTGTTACTATATGTTACTACTACTATATATGTTGGGGTCCACTCATCTTTTTATTTATATCAAACTGTACTGCCATTGCTCTTCCCCTTCTATAAACACCTTCCTTTCAACACTATCTTGTCTTTAACCTGCATTCATATTCATATATGTATAATTGCTAGCTCTCCATTTACTAAGTCTTCAATTTTTCTTCACATTTTCTCTATCATTTTCCTTCTTCAATTCAATAATGTCAATCTTTTTCCTCCCTTTTCTTCTCTTCCTCATTGTTCTCCCTTCTACAAATGCTGGTTATTGGCCACCTTCTCCTGGCTATTATCCAAGTTCCAAGTTTAAGTCCATGAGTTTCTATCAAGGTTTTAAAAACCTTTGGGGTCCTAATCATCAAAATGTAGATAATAATGGCATTAATATTTGGCTTGATAGAAATTCAGGTAGTTTTAATTACTCCCTTCTTTACTTGAATAGTATTACTACTTCTAATTAATTTCTTATCACTACAAAAAAAATCTGGATTTAGCTGCTAAGTTCGTCGCGAATGTCGCTAACAGAATTTTCCTTAAATAAGATTAGCAACAGATTTTTCAGTTTAGCTACAAAATATTTACGTCACTAATTTCAGTTTTTTTAGTAGTTATATAATTATATGGAAATACTTACTCCTCGCTGATATATATTCTTGGTGATGATATATAGGAAGTGGATTCAAGTCAATTAAACCATTTCGATCCGGGTATTTTGGTGCTTCTATTAAACTTCAACCTGGTTACACTGCTGGTGTTATTACAGCTTTCTACGTAAGAATATAATTTCGTTTATATATACTGTCAGTGTAAATATTTTTAGTTAGTACATTTTAGTTGAAATTAAGTTATTAATGAGTGGAATATATGGCAGCTTTCAAATAATGAAGCCCATCCAGGGTACCATGATGAAGTGGACATAGAATTTCTTGGAACAACATTTGGGAAGCCTTACACATTGCAAACCAATGTTTATATTAGAGGAAGTGGAGATGGTAAAATTATAGGAAGAGAAATGAAGTTTCATTTGTGGTTTGATCCAACAAAGGATTTTCATCACTATGCTATTTTGTGGAGTCCTAGAGAGATCATGTAAGCACTACTTAATTTATTATATGAATCCTTTTATTTATTTCATTCAAGTAAATTTAATGATAGAAATGAAAGTCTTAGAGCAACGACAAAGTTGACTTCGTTGGATCTATAGTTTACAAGTTCGAACTGTGGAATCAACTACTGATGTTTGCATTAAGGTAAGCTGATTATATCACACTTGTTGGAGTACGGTTTTTTTCGAACCCGGCATGTATGTCATATGTTTCGTGGACCGAGCTGTATAAGTAATGTTAATGATAAGGAAATATTCTACCGACAAAAATCATTTGACACTAAAGTATGGTTGTCCTCCAATTGAATTTAGTCATGGTTGCCCACCAATGAATTTAAGGACATCTGTTGTATTTTTTGATTACTTCAATTTCTCTTTTAGTATAGAGGGGACCATGTTAAGAGGATTAAATTCATGTTGTAGTCCTTTTTTCCATAATAGCTAAAAGGTCCACCATTTTTTTTTCACTCACATAGATTGAATGTGAGTCCAAAATACATTAGGCCCACACACAAAAAAAGTTTACATGTAATTTTTTTTGTGTGTAGAATTTCCTAAATCTGAAAAATAATTCATTATATTGTTATTTTGATTGGTTTTGGTTCAGATTTCTTGTGGATGATGTGCCAATAAGGAGGTATGCTAGGAAGAGTATTGCAACATTTCCACTAAGGCCAATGTGGTTATATGGATCAATATGGGATGCATCTTCTTGGGCAACTGAGGATGGAAAATACAAAGCCGATTATAGGTACCAACCATTCTACGGAAAATTCACGAATTTTAAGGCAAGCGGTTGCACCGCCTATTCATCGCGATGGTGCCACCCTGTGTCCGCTTCGCCATCCCGGTCCGGAGGCCTTACTAGGCAACAACGTCAAGCCATGAATTGGGTTCATAGTCACTACTTGGCCTATGACTATTGTCGAGACTCCAAAAGAGACCATTCCCTTACACCGGAATGTTGGCGTTAAATAGAGCCGTTTATTTGGTGAACTAAGCGAACTGCTGAAGCTGTGGGATGTAAAAGTACATCGGTGGAAGTGTCAATCTTTCATAGGATTATCCTATTTTGTGTGAACTACCCTTCTTCTTCCTTTTTTCTTTTTTTTTTTTTGTCTTTTTTTTTTTTAATTGGG